TAAACTATCAAAAAAAAATTTAAATATCTTTTGTTTTTAAAAAGTTATAACAATTTAAAAAATTTTATAATTAAAAGATGATGGCTTTAGATGAAATCCACTGTACATATTATTTTTAAGCTCTTTTCTCAAACAAGTTAGCTACGTTTTTGTGAATTAATCAGAAGCTTTAATACATATATTTATTGTACATTACTATTTTTCTAGCTTAAAAACCGTCTCTAAGTGACAGATATACACAAGATACTTTAAGCTTCGTTCGTGAAAAATCTTCTGTAGTATTATAAACGGCAGTTATATTTTTTTTTAAAAAAAAATTGTTAGGGGTAAAAGTACTCTAAACTGTATAAATTCAATTGAGAAAGTTAGCCTATATGTACGTACGTACGTATATACGTATATACACGTATTATCCAATAATACCTTACGTATTATGTTATCATGTTTTTTATTAACAGTTAACCTATTTATTATACGTATGTATATATAATATATATATGTATGTGTATATATATATATATATATATAATGAATAATTATCCGAGATACCTAGCACTAGCATTTTCGTCGCCTTCGAAATAAACTAAATTACAGTTACGACCGCTAGCCGGGCTGTTGGGCACATACAAGCACATATATATCAAATAACTGTATGTCACGACGACCTGAATTGAAAAGTAATTCTGTACTTTTCTCTTAATTTTATTAGTTTGATCTGCTTTTGCGATGAGACATACCGATTATTATGAAGTTCTTGGTGTCGAATCGACCGCCAGCGAAAATGAAATCAAAAAGGTGGGTAACAAACGTTTAAGCTTTTTGCAACAGAATTTTAATGTTTTTTTTTTTTTTTTTACAAATATATGCAGGCATACCGAAAATTAGTAAGTTTTGATATGCTTTACGTGATCAAAGGAATTTCCAAGATCGCACAGTAATATACGATGTTTATTTAAAAAAAAAAAAAAAAGAGAGAGAGAGAGAGAGAAAAGAAAAAAAGATAAACAATATCTTTTTTTGAATATGTATTAATTTGAGAAATAAGCCGTCATATCTTTATCTTACCAAACTGGCAATTATGTATAAGCTTCACGGAACTTCGTAATATACGAGCAAATCCTATAACCAGATTTATTAGGCTTTTTTATTTTTTTTATTTTAAAGATAATTTATACTTTGCAACAAAATTATAGGCGATGAAATATCATCCAGACAAAAATCCGGATGAAGCAGCCTCAGAAAAATTCAAGGAAATTAGCCATGCATATGAAATCTTGTGTGATTCAGAGAAACGGTAGGAACAGGTCAGATTCAGCTGCAGCATTGTATAAACGCGTCCGTTCTACAAGAACTTTTACTTTATAGTGAAATATACGATCGATATGGTGAAGATGGACTCTCTGGTGGCGGAGGTAATGCTATGTCTCCAGAAGATTTGTTTGCAAGCTTATTTAGTTTTGGTGGTAAGTATCTTGTATGCATTTGTAAATATATATCTATATTGATATATATATATATATATATATATATATATTGATTATGTATAATTCGTATAGGTAGTGGTGGACATTCAAGGCAAAGGAGAGGCAAAGATATTATCAAACCATTCAGTGTCACTCTTGAAGATCTTTATAATGGCAAAACGACCAGGATTTCGCTGCAGAGAGACGTCGTATGCTCATTATGTCATGGGTATATAAATTATATCAAATGATGTGTAGCTTTTTTCTCATTCCTTTTCAGAGTTTTGATGCTGGATATTTCTTTCAACTTGTAGAAAGGGCAGTAAATCTGGTGCAACTAAAAAATGTCATAGTTGTGAGGGTCGTGGTGTTAAAGTAGCTATGCGACAAATTGGACCTGGCATGATTCAGAGGATAAACACAGTTTGTGCAAATTGTATGAACAAATTGATTTGTCATTTCTATAATATTTTATCATCCTGACTTTTGCACTTGTGTTAAAGGCAACGGTACAGGCGGAATAATTAGAGAGAAAGATAAATGTAAAAAGTGTAAGGGCCTTAAGGTTGTGGAAGAAAAAAAGAAATTAGACATCTATATCGAAAAAGGAATGCAAAACAATCAAAGAATTGTTATGCAAGGTGAGGCAGATCAGGAGGTAATATAATATTATAAGTTCCATTATATAGTAGTTTCACTTAACAACTGCAATCATTCACATTTGATAACTTCCATTTACCTAGCCTGGAGTTGAAACAGGAGATGTAATTCTTGTTCTCGAGCAAAAACCTCATGATAAATTTGAGCGCCAGGGGGATGATTTACTTACAGAAGTTAATATCTCTATTACGGAAGCACTTTGTGGATTCTCAAAAGTTCTTGTTACACATTTGGACGGACGCGGATTGATTATAAATCATCCTCCGGGAGAAGTAATAAAGCCAGGTGCCATCAAATGCATAGCTAATGAGGGTATGCCTCATTATAAGAGACCATTCGATAAGGGCAATTTATATGTGAAATTCAATGTAGAATTTCCACCTTCTTTATGGATTGATCCAGAACAATTAAAGGTAAGGGCCTCATGCATTCAATTTTTTTGTTCTATACAACGCTCGAACAAACGTACACTAATACAATACTTTTAATAAAAATAACAGAAACTGGAAGAATTTTTGCCAACTCGCACAGAAGAAGATCCGTCAACGCGCCCAGAGATTTCCGATGAAGTGCACTTAACGGATGGAGACTTCACTGAGGTATCGTAAATCAAATGTATTGTTTATGCATAATTGTTACTGTTTATACTAATACATAGACTGGATCACGAAATCATGTCATTATATAGTACGGGTCAAAGAAAAGGAAAAATAACAATGTGTGGGAAGAAGATGATGAAGAGGAGGAGGAGGAAGAACATCATGTAGGCTGTAATCCGCAATAATTTGCACGTGACATGGATTGTGCTCGAAAAAAACCCCTAAATAGTTTTGCTTTCTTTATTAATCATCTGGCAATCAATTTGTTTTGGAGGACTTTGAGGGAATTTAAAATTATCTTAGATATTGGTGCAATATTAAAGGATAAGATAATAAAGTGGTTATTGTTACTTGCATATAGAACAGCTTGTAATCCTTGAAATGAGAACTGGTTGATTATAATTAGTGTACAACGATAATATTAAACTTAATTAGCACTGATAATTTGTTTGATGAATTTAAAGTGGAGATTATTTTATTTGTAATCTAAATAAACTCAAATTTCTTTTTATCAAATCCAATTATGATTAAGTTAAAAATATATATTCTTAAAATATACATTGTACATATTAATTATACACAAAGAGTATGTAATTTTTTATAGCAATTATATTACATCTATGTTTTACTCATTGGACAAGCAGAATAAAATATACAATATATGTGCACAACGTACACGCACCAGTATTAGTCTCAGTTAATTTTATTTATAATTACAATAACAAATGTCTCATGAAACCAATAAAGAGATGAGAAATTGTTAAGATATACCCATACCACGAGCACGACATCGTTCACAGTACCAGGTATCAACTTCAACATAGCTAGGACCGAAACCAGTGCATATTCCGTGAAACCAAACTTGACAACCGTCGCACGAAAGCATAAAGTTTCCATCGTCAATTTCTGAAAATGGATATGGACAAATGCAATTAATGACTTCAGGCGGATCGGCAACACCAACGTTGGACGGATTATTAACAACGAGTTGTGATTGTACTGACGAGGTTGATGCTACAGGAGAAGCAGCGGGAGCAACGACGTCAATCGGGGATACCTTTCCAAGACGAATCCTAAGTTTTGTTGCACCAGTAGTTGAAGCTGAAGCTGGTTTATCAGCAGGTACAATAGCAGGTTTTGTGATTGGCTTTCCGAGTTTAACCTTTGACCCACGTCGAATTGCGGTTGGCGGCCTTGGTCGAGAAGAATTTAATGGTGTAATCTCTTGGAAATCCGAAGAATCTATCATTTTTTCCTTTCCCTTTCGCGAAACAGGAAGTTTAACTTGTGGTCGTTTAACTTCAGATAAACTTGAAATATTTGTCACAGGTACTTCATTATCACTACGAATACGAGTCGCAATAGGAGAAGGCTTTTTTGTTTGACTTTCTTTAAGTAGCTTAAGTGGACCAACTGTAGAAGACATCAATTTAGTTAAACTAGTTACATCCTGATTGGTGATTCCGTCTTGACTTATCTCACCAACAGCATGAAACGGAATCAACGATGACGGAGTGATTTTAAGTTTACGTTTCTTTTTTGGAGATGGTTCAAATGACGATTCTTGAGTTTGTACTTTTGGTGGTACGATTGAATTGAAAACATTTGCAATATCATAAGTTGGTGGTCGCTGATCTAGAGATCTCTTACGGCGTGCCGTCTTAAGACTTTTATCTTGAGATGGAAGTAAATTTGACTTCATTGAATTCACATCATCTTTATGGATTTCTAATGTAGAATCTTGAGATACAGCTTCATTTGAGCTAATTTCCGGAGATTTTTTTAATGTGTCATCAGTCTCATCTTCAAGTTTTTCTTGTTGGGGTTTAACTTCAGGGAATGGAGGAAGCCATTCTGGAACATATGAAGGACGTAATGGTTTGACATTCGACTTAAAATCACAAGTTCCTTTGATCTCAGTAGCTGGTAAATCATTAAATTCATTCGTTGAATAACCTGGTAGTCCACTTCTTAGTAGACCTGTAGAGGTGATGCTGATTGTAAACTTTGATTTCAATGACTACTTGAAATCTTTAATTTGTATGTTACCTTCCATAATCTTAGATTGAGGTAATGGTCCGGTATACTTTCCAAGAATCTTGCCGTCAGTCTGTGACCATTCTTTCAATTCATCAATTTTGATACCAAAATCTTCGAATGCAGCCAAAACGTCGGTAGAAGTTGTTTTCGTTCTTCCAGAGTTTATAGCACCTTCATGCGCAGACTTTCCAAGACACAGCAGGTAATCTTTCAAGACGTCCGCGAAAACTTCGCCACCTAATTTTGAGCTCTTTTCAAAACCTGCAGACGCAAGTGCCTGGTGAACACTCCTGCGCAATATTTCCGAGCAAAACTTATCCATTCTGTTTTATGGTTTGTAAACTATTAACGTTGAATGAAAGTAAATAAAGTGGATACATGTTTTTTGCCAGTGCCGCCAAGCGTGATCTATGATGTTGATCAAATGCCTGTGTTCATGTGATATTGATCTGAGATTGCGGACCGTCTACGCGGACACCGGGAGGTAAACGTCAAAGGTTACACAAATTATCGTAATTTCGCAATTCGAAAATTTCATAAATACTTTATTGCAAATTCATATTTAATTTTTAAGGCAAAGACCCCAAATATTAATTTTAGACGTGAATTTTTTTAAATAATACGATACTTATCAGTTATACGTATAACGATAACATAACAAACTCTGAAATATTTTATTAAATGTAGCCAATGCATTTTGTGTACCAAAACCCTCTTCCTCCTTCACATGGGTTACTTTTTCTTTTTTATTATTTCGCTGAACGTCAACGATCCCATTTTCAATGTCCCCTTTTGAAACTTTATTCCAGAAAGCCGTAATTTAGATTCTTTAAGATTTGGTAACATGTTGGGGTGAGTTTTTAGATTCAACTTGTTAAACATACCCTCAACCTGCTGATGAACTATTATATAATAAATTTTAGTTGTTACAAACTCATAAAGCAGCGGGTAATCAAATAAGTTAGGGTTAGATGCATTACAAAAATCATCAAATTGTTCACAAAAATTTGAATCTGAAATGAAGAGTATTCTCAATTCAAAATCATCTAATATATTGTTTTTGGCATCATTTTCAAGTTGTTGCATATATGTTATCCCTTATTTGGATGGCTGAAGAATTGTTGGAAGATTTAAAATGATGTGACAGTAACTTTTTGCAAAAGAATAAGTGAAATTTTCTCCTAGTCGACAGACTAATAAAGGTAATTTAATCTATTGAAACATTTATTTTTTAAAGTAAGTTATTGCTTTTTTTATATCCTTTTCTAATAAATCAAAGATATTTCCAAATTCTGATTCACTTAATGATTTGAGTATCTTAAATAATTCTTCAGATAAAAATACATCAAAATTATTTGTGATCTTTTGTTAAAAAATTTAACCATTCTAAAATTTTATTAGACATTTTGTAAACACATTGACTAGGAGGTAAAGTTATCTAATTTTTACTATTAAAAATTTAAAGTACAGGATCTTGGCCAATAAGAAATTTTATTAAAAAAATAAAAAAATATTGACTAAATTTTGTTAAATATTTTACTTGAATATTAAGTTTTGTGTTATTAAATCAGATATAAAAGAGATATCAATTGTTCAAATAGGATAGTGCTGTATTAGGATAATTTTCTAATATTTTAATAAACTATTTTACAAATTGGAGATGTGATTCTTTTCTCTTTAAATATTATTTAGCAATATGTAATTCATATTTTCAACAAGTTTGTAATGGTATTTGGTATTGTAAATAACAATATTTAAAGAAAGATTTATACAAAACCTGAATATAATCATTTTTTATATTTATTGGTATATTATTATTTTTATTTTCATAGTTATTGTGAAGAGACTAAGCGAGATATAGAAGATTAAAAGGATGAGGTTTTTTTGAAAAATCTAATATATGATCAAAAGTTTTATTTTTGAAATTGGTAAAAATGATAAGTTGATTTTTAGTATAAGTAGGCATATATAATTTAAAATAAGAATAAATGTTTATGTTGCTCCCTGTTATATGACCTTTTTGTCATGGGTCATGTGCAACATATAAAAAATATAAGCAGTAATTTTCTATGCTGATCATTGTTTATTTTCTTTTTTTTGTTTTAGCCTGTATAGACGTTTTACTAACTCTATTTATTTTTCTTTTTCAGACTTATAGATCATGAGTCGTTCCTGGTGTCATCGTTATTAAAGCATTGTTATTCGAATCATTCTTGGATCATCGTTACTAGAATCGCGGTATTGAAATCATCATTACAGGTGTCATTCTTAGATCATTGTTAGAGCTTTTTGGAGTCACCGTTACTGGAGCTATTGTTACTAGAGTCATGCTACCAGAGTGCCGTTAGTAGAATAGAGTCATGTTACTAGAGTCACTATTAGTAGAATTAAGTTGCATTTCTTGTTTTCTGCTGTGGTATTGCTGTTACAAGATTGTTACTGGTGGTTTCTCTTGTCTTTGGCGTGATTAACTG